CCTGCTCCCTCTGGGGGTGCAGGAAGGAGGGGAGAGGGAATAGGATAACCTGTCTCACAGTTAGCCAGGACTACTGGTCCTGCTCATCCTGCCTAAACTGTTCCCATCTGTCTGACTATTGATGTTACTTGATCTTTGCATTCCCATTTGGGACTTTCAGACACATGGAGAAATTAATGATGGTGAAGTTGACTCAGTAAAGGGAACACTTTTTCTTTATTTTTGTTTTCTTTTACCCAAGATATGGAAAAAAATGAAAATTCCCTTCTTCCAGGAGAGGAGCAGGAGCTGTGATCCAGACACCAGGACACACAGCTTTATGCAAGCTGTTCTGCTGGAGTGTAGGCCATCCTGTTTCTACTCCCAAAATTGCTGCCTCTCCCTGGAATACTTTCTTGCTGCCCCACATCAAAGCTGGTACTCAGAGGTCATCTGCTGATACATATCACCACTTTCTAGCAGGAATATTGGCACTGAATGGAACAAACAATAACTCAGGAAAGGCCAAAGCAGCCTTGGTCTTTCCACTGGGAAATCAGCTGTCCAGAAGCTGGAGAGTGCCTTCCCAGATCATTTGAGCAGGCTACAGGATGGCCCATCAACCACGGTAGTTTTGGGAGGAAGAGCTGCCCCCCTCAGGAACCTCCTGGGAGGAAGCAGTAAAGGGTTTGCCCGGGGTAAACACACAGACACACCGGGAAAGTGAAAGGTCTGTGAGAAGGAAGCTTCCAGGTTGGTAGTTCACAGGAGGAGACAAGCAAAGATGTGTGGGACTGCATGGGTTGCTAATGCAGGGCTCTGATCTCAGGTTTGGGGGCCAAAACAGGACAGTCTCTGGGATATATCTTTCAGAGCACATCTGTGCAGAGCTGGAACTTACAGAGACTCAAAGGAGCCAATTGCTCTGTAAAATAAATACCAACCTGGTGTCTAGAGTAAGGAATGGATGCAAAGAGTAATCTACATGCTTCTCTGCATTTCCACTGTTCAGTGATAGCAAAAAGGACTGGAAACAGCAGACTGGGATGTACTGGGGGAGTAGGTCGAATCCCCAGGTGCATTGAAAGGCAGCAGACTGGCGCTGTGCAGGAACATCAGTGCAGGCCTAGCAAGGCTGGCATAACATCAAGTTTTTATAGACTCCTGAAAAGGAAAAAGACTTTTGGTCTTGAGTCGTAACTGCTAGTGAGAATAGCAGATGTATGTTCCAGCACCAAGACAGTCCCCCTCCAAGAAAAGGGAGAGTTTTCCTGGACAAATCCAGAAGAAAACCCAGGGGAGGTCTCTCTCTCAGCAGCTCACAAATCACTTTTCCCTGTGCTGCAGTGATGGGACTCCTACGCTGGCCTGAATCCAGTCACGAGGCCCATCACACCAGTGGGAAGAGGTGGGGTGAGCAGGCTGGACACTCATCTCTTGAGCTCTGCCCGTCCAGCTCTCCTTGGTTTTATAGCAAGTCACTCCCTGTTTTTATTGCACATTTTTAAACTACATTTCAGGTCCCACCTCAGCTATTAATGCTCTCCTCACTCTCACTTTTTCTTGAAAGAAAAATATCTTTATTGAAGAATGTAGCAAAAAAGAAAAAAAAAAAAAAAAAAAAAAAAAACAACAAAAAACACCCAAGAAAAAAAAAAGGTGTGAGAGAGAAATAAAACCAAGTGCATGAATTACAATACATCAAAAACCCCCTTAACTGAACAGTTCCTTTCCTTAAACCTTCCTTATCCCTTCCCTGAACTTTAACCTTGGACTCCTGCCAAGAAGATGTTCCTGTTTTTTGCAGGATGTCTGATTTTGGGTTTGGGGTCTCTCCAAAAGAGAAGGGAAGAATGTGAGCTGAAAATAGGATGGGTGGCCTAATGGTGTCCAAACATAATCAACTATCTCCACTAAATTTTTGAGATCTGGCCCCATTTGGGTCTGAGAGACGTGATACTCACATGGAAGAGGAAGAAAAATACAGTAGATAGACTGAAGATGAGCCAATACATTTAAGCCAGCACAACATATGGACTATCACATCTCTCAGCCTAGGAATGATTGCTCCCCACAGATTTCTACTAGGTTTGCCCAAAGTAAGTGAGACATCCCAGCCAGTGAGACTTTTCCCTTCTTTCCCTCTGGATTATTTTATATCTCTCACTGCCAGATGTGTTTTCCCATTATTCATAGGCTATTCTCCCCCTTTAAAAGTGGTCCTCATTATCCTCTGTGATAAGCAGTAATTTTATACCAAACAGTTCTGTTCTTCCCAACACCTAAACCTCACAGAAATGTGTAAACTCCTTGGTCATGTGGCCCTATCCCAGCTGGAAGGTTTAATGAAACTGTAAAGTATCTTTGAAGACTTAGGTGCTTGGCTGTTCTGCTTTCATCACTTTGGGCTTTCCCATCTGCATCCAAAATCAGGCGAGTCTCAGACAACCAAGAACAGTTTCACACTGCTTTTCAAAAAATGAAAGCTGAATCCTAATTTATAAAGAACACAAACTCTTTATTTCAGCTTGGGGAAATCAGAGTAATCTAGATTCCTTCTTCAGCCCAACAGAGAAATGCAGAGAGGTGATGTGCACCTTTTACTTTAGAGAGACTGGGAGCAGAAATAAATACCCTTTGCTGACAGTTGCAGCCCAATATCTGTAACTAAAATATAAATCTGCCCAGTGGTTATTTAATTTGCAGCCTTTGTTTCCCAGGTAGGACCATGAAGATGAGCCTGAAAAGGCTCTAGATCTCTCTGCCAAGGCAATCACATAATCACTTTGCTGTCCTTTTTGCTAACAGAGAATCCACTTCAGCAGTGAAAATGGAGTTTGACCTCCCTTGTATCTCTGACAAGCAAGGTCTCTGAATCAGAAAGACTTTTTAAATCACCATTATTTGTGTAAAAGGTTGAAGCCTTAGGATTTTTACTTCCCTGTGAAGTTCAGATTTTCTGGTGAATCTAAGTTTTAGTTTCATCATTTGCAGTGTGATCCTTTGGTAACAGGGATGTTATTTGCAATGACAGTATATGTAATGTTCATACAACATCTGTTTAAGGGCTCTGAAAATCAGGCTTACCAGTGCATGGGATAGACTTGTGAATGGGCATGTCACAGAGAATTAAGGATATAAGTTAGCTATGCGAGTTGGACAGAAGAACTTCTCCTGCAGGCACTCAAACCCGGCCCTCAGAAATATGGATTTCCTTTTACCTCCTCACCTTGTCACTGTGACTGAATGGAGTCCATCAACAGGGGAGATGATGAAGGGGATGAAATAACAAAATACTACCTTCTTTGTTTGCATCCTTCCCTGTCATTGCTGCTGAGCCAGAATCAGTCCCTTTGGCTGAGATATTCAGCTCCAGAACCCCTCCTGTCTCCAGTATCAATAAGCAACACGGAGCAGCCTTTACCACCTTTACTCCACCTACTCATCAGATTGGTGGGGTATTGTGGAGGAAAGACAAGGAATAGGCAAACACTGAGAGAGTCAACACACTTCCCAACCCCTACACCGTGTAGTTCTCTCCCATGAGACACCTGATGGAGGTGTTCCTAGCTCCACCTTTCCAGAGTTCAGCAAAGACGGTGACGGTGGCCTTCCCATTTGGCACAAAATTAACACAGGGGCTTCAAAGCCAACAGGATTTTAGCATCTCTTCCATGACAGTGGGCAGGCATATCAGTTCCTTCACTTCCAGTTTTGAAGTGCACTCTTTTCCCTGCCATCCCTGCTCCGTGTTTCTCTGCTCTTAAATACATGTTTTACAGAGTGATCCATGGGAACACAGCATTAGGGGCATTGACAGCCCACCATTCTCACCAGGGTAAATCTGCTCCAGTAGCACAGCTGAAGTTGTCCCGTGTCAGGCAAAACAGGGGACAGAAATTACAGAAAGGGATTTTATGCTTCTTAAACGCAGCATGCTATAGAACACAATAGTTGTGTGATTAAGGTCCTGTTATTAAATTTCCACAGCTTGCACAGCTCCAAGGGCTGTGGGTAATGCTGTGCTCACACCCATATTTTCCTAAAACTTCAGCCTGAAAAGCTTCATCATTTCCTTGAAAATGAGTGGGATAGAGGAATTAGCCCCCACTGAGGCTATCAGGTTTTGGGCAGCAGGCAACGCTTGCCTCAGCCTCGCCTGGGTGGTGGTAACCACAGACCCAGCAGAAAAAAGGGAGCTTGAAACTGCTAATCCACTTATACTCTCACCTACCCCGACCAAGGTTGTGATTAATCTCTTACACTCAGCATTTCTTCTGTATTTAACAACACACAGTCTCTCACCAGCCTACTCTTAGTCACAAAGCACACTGCTGGTAGCAATGGAAACACAAAAAGTAAAATGATCTGGAAAAAAACCCAACCAAGCAGAAGAAACACAGGGGAAAAATAACAAATAGATATATTTTTGAGAGTTTAATAAGGTAAATGCAGGATCTTAACTTTGCAATAGTGCAAGTCTGAAGCAAAACTGTTTATTTGGTATTTATAGATTTTTTTTTTTTTGCAAAACAAGTTTCCATGAAACCATAGCAACTGCAGTTAAAGTGAAGATTTGGAATGATGATGGAATCATTCATGAGCGAAAAAACCCAAGTAATGTCTGGTCTGGGTAGGTGGAATATAAGATTAACACTAGATAGAGAGAAATAATTTCAAAACGTTTTAGGTAATTTAATCACCCTAAACCCTGTGAAAGTAGACATTTAATTTTTTTTATTTTACCAGAATATTACATCCTTGATTTTTTTAAACAATCTGTTTGCTAACTTTCTGATGGGGATGTTTTGTGCATAAATGTTCAAGTTTATTACTCATCTCTTACAAGAGAAGACACATAAACAGATTTCACCAAGACACCACAACAATCTATTTCTAACAGAATTACATGTATCTCAGAAAAAATATGCATTTTTCTGAAAGATCTTTCTATTGCATTCCTTTCTCCAAATGCATTTCAGAGAAGTCAGTTCAGGAAAGTAGAATCAGTTACAACTTACCTTCACAGTTGAGTAGATGACATCTGATTTTTCAGAGAAAGCAGCGTGGTCTGTTTGGGTAGTGTAAGAGTTGTAGATTCAAGCCAGCAGGTAATTTTTTGGTGATTCAAAATCCTTTAAAAAAATTTAAATCCTGGGATGACAAAAAAAATGTACTTTGTGAAAACCTATGTGAGGCTTGATGCGCTTACAGAGTTTTCTAACTGTCTGTCTCAGCTGAGCAAGCCCCTGCTCCTTTCCTTGGCCACCTCCCAACTTTTCTAATTTAAAGCAACTGTGAGCTTGCTGTAAAACTCTTGCTGGAAGGAACTTGTTTTATACCATGGAGCAAGGAGCAAGCCTGTGCTCCAGACTGATGCGCTGTGACAGAGTCCTAACAGGACTGGGGGCATAGCCTCCCTGAGGTAATGTTATATCATCTTTGGAAAGCATCATAGGCTAAGCTGTCTCCTTCTTCGTAAAAGCACAGGAAAAAGGAAAAAACCAAGCTGCTTTTGGCATATAGTCCCGTCAGCATGGGATTTGGGAGGAGCAGCATCTGCCTCAAAATGCAGGAAGTGACAGCCTCAAATACGTGAAGTGCTCAAAGCTCCTGAAGGAACCTGGTCCCCACACTGGCCACAAGCCACCAGTCCTTGGCTTGGAGGCTTTGGGCCAGGTCCAGGGGCTTCCTCCAGGGCTTCCCCTACAGTGCAATGCTGGGTGCCCCTAGCACAGGGTGGCTGGGACGCCCTAGCTGAGGGTCATGGCTGAGCAAAACCACAAACATCTTGATTTTAAAGAGTTTCAAACTTGGTGCTTTGGACAGTTTCAAAATACACTCCTGGCAATGATCCTTCCTTCTGAGACACTGTCAATAATAGAGGCAGACACTTGAGTAATAGAAACTTAAATAATAGAGGCATGATTTTCAAAGGCATCCACTTACTGGGCATGGCTCTGTCCTGCTTTGCTCAAATTAAGATAATGAAGCAGGTAAAGTGTTGTTCATATAGGAGAGTTGCCTATGCCCATTTGGACTTTCCTTCTCTTTGCAAGGAATTTATTTCAACCATTTATGGTTGTATCACATGGTGTGCATTTATGACCTTACAGAAAAGGTCCCCTTTTGCAAATGTGACTTTTCTCTGCAGAGTAACTAAAAGCAAGCAAACTAACAAACAAATGATAAAATAGTGTGATTTGGAGAATTTCAGTCTCTGAGTTTTTCCATGGGTACCATAACAAACTTTTGTTTAAGAAATGAGGGTCCTGAAAAGCCTACTATAGGCTGTGCTCCAAATCTTCCAGCACCTTTGGAAATGCATCCCACTGACCTGCTGATGCTAAGGTGGCCTGAGGCTCATGTGGTTGTTAGTAAGTGACTTCAGTTTTGTAAGCCATATTTTCTTGTGAAACTAATGGAAGTGAAGATGGAAACATTAAAGTGAAATTTTCAAAGGTGTTTTATGCCACTAAAAGAGGAAATGAATATTCTGTGAAAAATCAAGTCAACATTGGAATGCCACATGTGACATAGATAAGAAAGATCTTGTTTGTTTGAATGTTCTAATTTCCATGGCACTGAAATATTAAGTATTTTATATTTTGAATAGACAATGAAAAAATTCTTGTGCATTCAAACATGTAGATAAAATGCTGCTCAGTTCTGGGATAAAGGGTTTAAGGAAAACGAAACCTTTTTTTTTTTCCTTTCTTCTAATGGATTTTCATTCCAGTGCTAGATGGTAATAACCAGGTTATAGAAAACTCTGTTACAAAATCATATGGTACTGTGAAAACTTCAATATGTGATATTACAAGTCTCAATTTTCCCTCAAAGTATTTCTATCAGAGTATTTTTATTTTGCTCTATGAATCTGCTGGTGAACTTACTTACCGGTGAGCAATGGTGAAAGTAGAAATGGCATCCTATCATGTCACTTCAATATTCCTGGTTTGTATCTTAATTTCCACTTAGTGATCCTGCATTAAGCATGTCTTTTTAGGTACTGGCACCTCTGGAAACTTGGTCCTGCATCCTTGTGGGAATCAAACAGAAGTTTTAAAGATTACCCAGAAGTTTTAAAAATTACCCAAAGATTATTGTCCTCATTCCCTCAGTTGATCTCTTTCTGATTCTGTTGAGGGAAGCATGAGATGGTGCTTCCTCTTCCTGATGAGTCTTTCTGGGGGAAGCAAGGGATGTTGCCCCATTGGAAAAAAAAAAAAAAACAAACATGTTTTCTAGTGGTCTGTGGAGAATTCTGGTAGGAATTATGAACTTAGGCTTTGCCACTGATTCATACCTAGATCTGGGCTGGGAAACTTCCTCAATGCCACTTATTTGCCTCATAGGAATGTGATTAAGGCTAAACAGCCATTGGTGAAGTAGTAAATAAGATTAATCACTCTAATTTTATAGCAGCAATAATTAAAATCAAATATTTATTTTAATATGCTAACATTTTATCCCCACTAAGTCTACCTGAATAGTTTTCTGTGGTCCACAGCACCAAGTTAAAAACCAGCTGGAAGTTCCACTCTTAGGTTACAGGGAAGGGGGCTTAAGGGGGAAGACGCAGTTAAAGCTTTGTCAGAGGGACAGGGACGGGAGCTCCAACATACAAAAAGTCTGAAAAGGGAGAAGTTGAATCCATTTCATTTGCTCACCAGACTTTCCAGACCAGAGGAAAGAGACAAGGGTAAGAGTGAAGGAGAAGTTGCAAAGTGCTCTGCAAGCACTGGAGGATTAAATGTTCAACAGAAAACACAGGTTCAATTTTTTTGGAAGAAAGATTTTTTTTTTTAATAGGGTTGTTCACTGGTGATTGTGATAGGCTCATTTTTAATCCCTCTAAAGTTACAATTCTTGGCAACTATTTCACATTTTAGCACTTCACCAGAACACTGATTTTCTGGCTTTTGGCTTTAGGAAGGGATAGCTGAGGTAGGATCAATCTTCCTGCTACAGCAGCTGAACCAGGAATGGTAACTTGGTATTCATGTCCTCACAGGTACAATGGAACAGCCAACAGTGGGTTAGGAAAAAAGGAATCAGTCATCTTGGGGAAATTTCAATGGGAAAGAAAATGTCCCTTGGCTCACCTGTGGGTGCAAGTCTTCATATGGTCCCATGTGTGTGGACATTTGCTACATTGTTTGATTGTTGCATCTTGAAGACAAACCACATGAATGTTTGTAAGAGTTGCATGAGATTACATGTGCTCTAAGGAATAGAGTTGTCACACCCTTGACTAATTGTGGTCCTTAATCCTCTCATGTGGCAAGCAGCTGATAATTTTTCCTGGTTACATGTCTAAGTCCTTTCTCTGAAGAAAACATTTTAAGATGCAGCAGGCTTTAATAAGTTTAAAGGATGTTTCCAACACAAGTATCTGAACCAACAATCAAACAAAATCCTTCATCTGTGAAACACTAAGAAGTTATTTTGTTGGCAGGAAGGAATTACGATGTTGTGGCATTAAAAAGAGAAGTATCCTTTGATGCTGGGATTTGGGACTTTCCTGTGCTATGGCTGAATGCATTCACATCCATTTAGTGCTCAGTTCAGCTGCCAAGATGTGGGTGTAAGGGCTCAGGATTCATCTTGCCCCAGTGCTGAGAAAATGAGCAGGTATAAATGGCAAATGCACTCTAGGAGGTCACAAAGCTGCTAAAACCCAGAAGCCTAGTTGTCCCCTCATACAGAAGACTGGCTTCATCCAGGTAAACAAAAACATGTCATTGTCCAGTGGCCCCAAATGAGAAGAAGAATCCATTGTTACATAGAAAGAAGATGTCAAAGAACATGGTTATTTTTGCTTAGTTTGATGGGTGAGCATTGGGGATTTTTTTTATTGTTGTTTGTTTCTTTCAGTTTGGTTTCAGTTTTTTGGGTCACTAGCTCCTGGCCTTTACAGCTCCATGGAAGAGGAAGGGATGGGAGAGCTGCTTTTAAGGGGTACTCCTTTCGTCATGAGTCCTGACCCATTTCAAGGGATGCTGCTTTTGGATTGATGAGAATCCCAGTATGGCCTGACAATGTGCCTTTGCAGCCCAGAAATCAGCATGACCAGCAGGATGAGGGAGCTAATCCTGACCCTCTCTCTGCTCTGCTCTCGTGAAACCCCACCTGGAACTCCGCATCCAGCCCGGGAGCCATGACATACGAAGGAGATGGACCTGCTGGAGTGAGTCCAGAGGAGGCTATAAAGCTGATCAGAGGGATGGAGCATCTCTACTATGAAGGCAGGCTGAGAGAGTTGAGGTTGTTCAGCCTGTAGAAGAGCTCAGAGAAACCATATAGCACCTTCCAGTACCTAAAGAGGCCTACAAGAGAGCTGGGGAGGGACTTTCTACAAGATATGTCATGATAAGACAAGAGAGAATGGCTTTAAACTGACAGAGAGCAGGTTTAGATATGATATTAAGGAGAAATCCTTTACTGGAAGGGTGTTGGGGCATTGGCACAGATTACCCAGAGAAGTTGTGGATGCCCCATCCCTGGAGGAGATCAAGATCAGGCTGGATGTGGCTCTGAGCCATCCTGTCCAGTGGGTGGCATCCCTGCCCATAGCAGGGGATTTGAATTAGATGACCTTTAAAGTCCCTTCCAAGCCAGGCCATCCTATGATTCTATGATTTCCAGTTGGTGCATCCATCTGGAGATGCCTATCCAGTGAATGGCTGCAGGATGGGACGGATTCATGGGAACAGCTCATGTCCAGATGACTGCAGGTGTTGGGGCTGTGCACCTCAGGGAGGCAGCTAAGTACTAATGGATTAATTACACATGCATTTTCTACCTGAGATGCAAAGTGCAATTCCAACAGGGCCTGTAATTTTTCAAAAAAGTGTAATTTATTTAAGACAACATTTGCTAGAAAACACAGTCCAAATCTCATTTACCCAGTGAGATTACCTACCTAAAGATACCTCTGTTCTGCACCTCCATTCAATCATTAGTCACCAATGTAAAGCTAGCATGCTGGATTTAAATCTTATCTGCTTGGAACAGCTTGGTACAACTCTGGTATACTTACTGTTTTGAAATCAAATGTTGTTTGTGGCAAGCAGTACAGCACATTAAATTTCTCACCCTCCAGTGAGTCAGATCACCCCAGTGTTAGGGCTTGGAGTCTTAATGGGGCAGAGCATTACAGCCCCATTTCCTCCACCACACATTTGCAATTAAAATTGTAGTTGGAGTTTCACTTCACATGCCTACACCTCCACATGATGAGGGCTTTTCCACCCCGCCTCCCCTCTCTTTTGCCTTCAACCACACTTTTCCAGCAGGAATCTTAAATACCAGAGCCCAGACATGCAAAGTTGTTTTGACACCTCAGTCCATCACTGAAAGCCAGTGACATTTAAAAGGGTCCTGAAATGAGTGGGGGC